CACGCCTAGGGGCTGCCCGTCAGAGCCGAGGCCCCGCCCCAGCCCGCCCCGCCGCAGCCCACCGGCCCGGTCCCACCCCACAGTCTCCGCCCCACGCCCGCACCAGTAGTCAGGGCTGTCCATCTTGTCCAGAAACTGGTCCAGCTCGTCAGGGGTGCGCAGGGGCTTATAGATGCGCCTGCCGTCCAGGTCGTAGCCCACGTGGGGGAAGTCATCGTACCACTCCAAGGGCACGTTGCCCACCGTGTTCCGGATGTCCTGGGGCAGGAGGCCAGCATATTGGCACTGGACACCCACTGTGCCCACCCGTCCCTCCAAGCCCCCCAAGAGATACAGATGAGAGGGAAAGGTGAGAGCAAAGGGACTGGCTTCAAGGCTAGCCAGGGGCAGCACCCGGGCACCCTGACTTGTGCCTTCTCCCTGGGGTGTGACGTGGCAGGGCAGCCGGCACTGTCCCCCACCACCCCCCTGACCCTCAGAGGCGCCGGAGCTGTACCTTCACATTTTCCACTGAAGTGGTGCCAACCCCAGAGCCTCCCCCCTGGATTCCTTGGCCAGGGCTCTGGGCAGCCACAGGCAAGGGTGACCTCATCGCCCGTGGGCTCCCTCCCCTGGCGGGGGGCCTTAGGCAAAACCGGGTAGCCACGGGCAGGGACTCAGGGAAGACCCCACCAACCCACTACAAAGGGAGGCCGAACCCACCGCCCTGTGACCTGCAAGCGTTCAGGGACTCCCCAGCCCCCCAGCCCTGTCCCCCACCCCACCCTCAGCGGGCAGAGCAGCCACATTCCTGGACACACATTCCTGGTCGAGGCCCCTGCCAGCCGCCACCCTCCCTCCACCCAGCACGGAGACTGCTGCCCAGGCGGCCGCTTCCTGCAACAGTAGCCACGGGAGGAGTGGCCCCGATGAGACAGCACGGCCGGGAGCCTGGGAACCCCTCCCCCTTACAGCAGGACAGGACCCTCTGGGAGCTGCCCCTCTGCACCTGCCCCCAGCCCCCAACCTGCCCAGTTCTCCCAGCTTGCCCATCCTCCAGGTGTGCCCCCGCGTCCCTGCCGTTGCTAGGAATGCCCTTCCTTCTCCTGTGACCCCCAAGTCTACACAGCCATCCCTGAATTGGACAGACTGGGGTCGGGGGGGTCGGTGGCCCAGAGAAAAGGCCCACGGGAGCACTCAGCAGGGGGACGGGGTGCTGGTGGGGGTTCTCCAGAGCGGAGCGCAGGCAGGACCCGGTAAAGTGGGCACACACAGCCTGGGCCAGACCTGGAGGTTGATGCCAGGAGGGGGCAGGTGCAAGAGACACAGGCTGTGTCATCAGGCGACCCCAGGCACGAACCTGAGGTGTGGCGGCCAAGGGAGCTGGGGCTGAACTCCAGCCCCTCAGAGCTGTTCTCTGCCCCCTCCTCCGGGCACAGATGGCCCAAGTGTACATGGGAGGGAGAGACAGACAGGGTGTGGCCAGGCGCTGGGGCCAGGGCAGCTGGGTTAACTTGGTCATGCCAAGCAAGAAGGCCCGGGTCATGGGTCCTGCTTGACCCTCCTGCCCCCCACCCCGCAAAGAGGGAGGAGAGAAGGCAGCACAGCGCTGGTACCACCCAGAAGGGGGCTCCCCCTTCCCCCGCATCCCCCAGAGACAGCAAGATGCTCCAGGCCCCTTCACCGTGGCGCGAGAAGGCAGAGGGACAGAGGGCCCCTGCTCCAAGCGGCCTCCAGGGGCTGGGAGGCGGGGAGGAGGGCGGGCCGGCGCGGGGGAGGGGCCGCCTCGGCTATAAAGGCCCGGCCTGCGGCCCTGCTCCAGCCCGGGACGCACACGTGCGCGCGGCGCCGCAGCCGCCACCGCGGGAGCCCTGAGACCCCGCGCCCCCTGGCCTGGGCGGCGGCGGCGGCGGCGGCGGCGGCGGCGGCGGCGGCGGCGGCGGCGGCGGCGGCGGCGGCGGCATGCACGGCGCGCCGCGGAGCTGACGGCGGCCGCTGGCCCCATGTCCTTCGCGATGCTGCGCTCGGCACCGCCCGGCCGCTACCTGTACCCCGAGGTGAGCCCGCTGTCGGAGGACGAGGACCGCGGCAGCGAGAGTTCGGGCTCCGACGAGAAGCCCTGCCGCGTGCACGCGGCGCGCTGTGGCCTCCAGGGCGCCCGGAGACGGGCCGGAGGCCGGCGGGCGGGGGGCGGCGGCCCGGGGCCTGGGGGGCGGCCGGGCCGCGAGCCCCGACAGCGGCACACGGCGAACGCGCGCGAGCGGGACCGGACGAACAGCGTGAACACGGCCTTCACGGCGCTGCGCACGCTCATCCCCACCGAGCCGGCCGACCGCAAGCTCTCCAAGATCGAGACCCTGCGCCTGGCCTCCAGCTACATCTCGCACCTGGGCAACGTGTTGCTGGTGGGTGAGGCCTGCGGCGACGGGCAACCCTGCCACTCGGGGCCCGCCTTCTTCCACGCGGCGCGCTCTGGCAGCCCTCCACCCCCGCCGCCCCCGCCCCCCGCCCGCGACGGCGAGAACGCCCAGCCCAAACAGATCTGCACCTTCTGCCTCAGCAACCAAAGAAAGTTGGTGAGTGTTGGCCGCGGGTCGTCCCCAGAAAGGGAGGCGAGGAGGATGGGGCGCCCCCCACCTCCAAACCACCCGTGCAACCCACACCTGCCTGGCAGAGAGGGCGGGGCCAGAGGCAGGCAGAGCTCCCCAGCAGCACCTGTTAACCCACGCGCAGCCCCGAGCTCAGGGGGGGCGCAGCACGAGGAGGAGGGCGCAGCTGGAGCAGGCAGGGCCGGGCCTTCCCTGGACATTCTCCCCACGAGTCCCCTGGACACAGGCTCCCACGGGGACCAGACAAGGGCACCCAGGGCCAGATGGGGCAGGAGACCGAGGCAGGGCCAACACCAACTTGGAAGCTAAGGGACCAAACCAGGGTTGGATCAAGCAACTCTGGCCACCCACCCTGTCCCCAGGGGAAGGAGACTCAGGGGCAGTGGGATCCACTTGCTCTGCCACTGGCCTAAGGCTTATCGGGCACCTGCCTGCCCTCCCCTGGCCCCTGCCCCTGGGGCTGCCCACTCAGACACCAGTGCAGCTGTGGGACCCGCTGGCAGGAGCGGGCAGGAGACTTGGGGGCTGGGGGAGAGGCCCCGCTGCGGGAGACGCTGGCTGGCCGTGATTTACGGCTCCTGCTGTGCTTGGTGGCACCGGAAAAGCAGGGTGAGCAGGCAAGGAGAAAATACGGCGCGGCTTTCCCCAATCCCCATTTCCTCTCCAGACGGCACGCGCGAGCTCCTGGGGCCTGAACATCTGGGAAATTTAATTTTACAATTTCGGCTGTGCAGCAGCGTACTCCCCTCCCCAAGCCGCTTGGGGAAGCTGGGCTGAGCGTGTAAGGGGGGTGCTTTCAGCACCCACCACCCGAGACAGCACCCAGTGGGGAAGCCCAGAGGTGCAAGCTGGCACTGGTCTCTGCACGGGCCCTGACACTGCCCTCCCCTCTGCAGAGCAAGGACCGAGACAGAAAGACGGCGATTCGGAGTTAGAGGCGGATGCTGCTGGGCCATCCACGGAGAACCCCCATGGACCTGACTCGGGCACAGGCCTCCCTGAGGGCACCCCCCAGGCCAGCCCTGCCCCAGCTGTGAGCGGGGCCGATGGACAGACAGGCGGTGGGACTCAGAGCTGGCCCAGCACTTGCCCAGCCCCACTGGAACTTTCCGTGCTGGCTCCCAACCTGGTTTTCTTCTGGTCACTATGTGCTGGCATCTTGTGTCTTTGATATGATAATATAAAGTCTGGAAACTTTGTATAATTAAAAACAAAACAATTATCTTCTAAACACGGACGCACACTGTCCTCTCCAGCAGTTGAGAATCCACCCTGAGCCGGAGCCCGAGCCCACCCTCCCACCCCTCAGGGCTCTGTGGGCCAAGGTACCCAGTTCTCGGGGGAGGCCCCCCACTTTCCAGGGCTCAGGGCCGGCGCGCCCAGCACCCCCGACCAGGGAACTATGGCGTGGGGTCCAAAGGAGACCTGTGGGGGGAGAGGAGGGCGAGGGACCGAGCAGGACGCAGGCAGCCCAGGCCCGGGAGCAGTCTCGCCCCACCCCTGCTCCGAGAGCCTGCCTGGTGTCCCAGTGCCCTGAAGGGTCCTCCGTGCTTGCGGCACGCAACTTGTGGGTCCGTCTTCAGGGCCTCGGCACCTCAGCCTCTGCCCACGGAGCCCCACGAAGTGGGCATGTAGGGGAGGGTAAGCGAGGGGCACTGTCTGGCAGAGTGAGTCCCCAGGCCTGAGGGCATGGACCAGGTGGCAGATGCCTGTGTGTACCCCTGGGGCCCACCCCTACCCCCAGCCCTGCAATTGGCCCCGGCAGCACTGCTCACACCGGGAGGACCCCTGGCTGCCCACCACCCACCCACCCACCCACCCACCCAACTCCCCCAAAGGCCCCACCTGCCCATGAGGAGGGCAATCCAGGCCTCTCCCCGAGCTGTGCACAGCTGGCGGACCATTAAAATCTTGCAGGTGACAATTATAGACTAGTGGCGCGAGCTCCACAGGCACAGCAGAGAAGAGAGGTGGGGGCGGCTCTGTGCAGGCCACCCCAGCACCCCCAGGCTGGCCAGCAGCCTGACTTCCGGCCAGCGGGCACCAGGTGCCAACCCCGGGCCCTGCTAGCCCTCAGCACAGGCTCCGGGACCCCGGGAGAGGGCAGGTGCCGAGGCCCACGTGGGCACCCCAACAGGGCAGGGCTAGAGCTGCCCCCTCCTCTGAACAGACGGGCTCCAGGGAACCGAGAAGCAGGAAGCGATGGTGTAATTTTGGAAGAAATTCTCAAAGCCAGAGCCATTAAGGACTAGAAAGGGGGCTGTGTCCAACCTGATAGAAATATAACAGGATAAAAAGTCACAACGGCAGGTTCCACTCAGAGAGAAACCCAACCCCAAATTTCCTCTCCTTAATCCTGCAGGAGCTTACAGCTGGCCAGCCAAAGGCGGGGAGAGGGCATGCTCGGTCACCCCCACCCGCCTGCCTGGAGAGCCAGGACCCAGGAGGAATGTGGGGGTCTGCCTGGGGGATGAGAAAGGCACCCCTTCCGCCCCAAGGCACCGAGGACACTGCGAGAACGTGACCCGCGGAGGGGCAGGCGGGCAAGCAGGGATGCCCCCCAGGGTCTCCGGCCTGCCTCCCCTGCTCCCTGGGGCACCAGTGCAGTTCTGTGGGGACGGTCTGTGGCCCACCTGCCGCTCACCCACCGGCCTCACCTCTCCATACCTGGGCTGGGTGGGAGTGCACCCTCCCTCACAAATCCTCCCGAAGACGATGGGCAGCAGGGGGCAGGGGGCCACACGCCCTGCACAAAGGCCTGAGAGAAGAGTGCGGGGCGAGGGGGACAGGCAGGGTGAGGCCGGAGGGGCATGGGTGTCAGGGACCCTTGGAGCCGGTGCAGGAGAGGAGAAGGGGCTGAGAGAGCCTCGGAGATGCCAAGTCGGTAGGAGAGGACAGGCCGTTGGGACGGTCCCCAGGGGCCGGCAGGTCCTGGCACAGGGCGCGTGGGCCAGGCCCTCGGCTGCTGGGCCTGTGACTCCGACAGCGGCTGCAGCTTGGCTAGCCTCGGGCCCGGGCAGTGGGCCCGGTCGCTCCCTGAGCTGCACCGGTAGCAGCAGAGGCTGAGAGCCTGGCCCGCCAGCCAGCAGGAGAGGGAGGGGAGGGGCACGCCGTCACCCTCCACCGCTCCAGAAATTCAAACCATACTGGGGGTGGCGGGCCGGCCCGAGCCCCTGCGGCCCCACGAGAGTCCACTCGGCTACTCACGGCAGCCGCCGGGCCCCCGTCCACCACAAACCCCACTTCCTCCCCAGGACGCCAGCCTCGCCCCTCCACCGAGCCTCCGCGTGCCAGTGCCCCACAGAGGCTACACGAAAGGAGGGCCCAGCCCGCACCCTGGGCCAGCAGCCGCCTCTGCGGGCCAAGCAGGCCTGGAAACGCTCTGATGGCCATCAGGGCCAGGCTGTCAGCTCCCTGTCCCCAGCCTGGGGAACGAGCTGCTGGCGGCACCACGTGATCCATCGCCAGGCCGCCTGAGCCCGCAGGCCAGCCGGCCCCCACCCTGCGCAGCACCTGCGGGCTGCCAGGAAGCACACGTGACCCCGTGGGGGCGGGAGACCGCCGACCCCTCCAGGGCCCAGACAGCCCCCAGCCCGCGCGCTCCCAGGGGGCCGCCATGCCCCAAGGACGAGCCTTCGGGCAGCAGGGGTCCCCCACCCCCTAGGCTGCACCGGACAGGGCGGCCACCGGCTGATGTGTCGGCTGGGATTTTTCCGCTCTCGCAGAGCCCCCCCCCTCCCCCTCCCCAAAGTGGCTGCAGCTGTCAGGACCGCAGATTGGAACTGCAGGTACGGCGCTGGCCCGCTGCCCACCTCCCTCCCGTGTCTGTCTGAGAGAAAGGAAGCCGGCCCACCTCTGGAATCCTTCACTCTCTCCTCGTTCCGCCTCTCCCACCTGTCCCCGGGGAGCGCGGGGTCAGCCGCCCTCGCTCGGGCTCTCTCTTCCCCTTGCCCCTCTCCGATTACAATACCGGCAGTGTTCCCTCAGCTCCCCCGACACGGAGCC